GTATATTCAATATTCTTCACCAACACCATAAATTCAAAAGCATCAATTCTTCTTCAGTCCCCTTTATTCACTGTCCAGGTTTCACACATGATGATGGAAAATATCATGGCTTGGGTCAGGCACACCTTCATCCTCAAAGTGACATTATTGTTCTTTAACACTTTAAAGATATCTTTTGGAGCAGATTTGCCTAATGCAATATGTCATTTGATTTCCTGACTGCTGCTTCCACAGGCGTTGATTGTGGAGCCAAGGAAAAAGAAATCTTTGGCAACTTCAATTTGCTGCATTTATCATGATGTTGCTTATTGGTCCAGTTGTGAGGATCTTTGTTTTCTTTATGTTGAGGTGTAATTCATACTGAAGGCTGTGATCTTTGATTTTCTTAAGTGCTTCAAGCCCTCTTCGCTTTCATCAAGCTAAGTTGTGTCATCTGCATATCACAGGTTGTTAATGAGTCTTCCTCCAATCCTGATGCCACATTCTTCTTCATATAATCCAGCTTCTTGGATTATTTGCTCAGCATACACATTGAATAAGTATAGTGAATGGATACAACCCTGATGCACACCTTTCCTGATTTTAAACCACACAGTAATCCCTTGTTCTGTTCTAATGACTATCTCTTGGTCTACATACAGGCTCTCCGTGAATACAATTAAATGTTCTGGAATTCCCATTCTTCACAATGTTATCCATACATAATTTGTTATGATCCATACAGTTGAATGAATTTGCATAGTCAATAAAACACAAGTAAACATATTTCCAGTAGTCTCTGCTTTCAGCCAAGATCTATCTGATATCAGCAATGATATTCTTTGTTCCAGGTCCTCTTCTGAATTCACCTTGAACTTCTGGCAGTTCCCTGTTGATACACTGCTGCATCTGCTTTTTAATTACCTTCAGCAGTATTTTACTTGCATGTGACATTAACCATGTTATTTGATCATTTCTGCATTCTGTTGAATCACCTTTCTTTAGAATAGGCATGGATATGGTTGGCCAGGTAGCTTGTCTTCCAAATTTCTTGGCATAAACAAATAAGTACCTGTAGCATTATATCCGTTTGTTGAAATATTTCAATTGCTATTCCATCAATTCCTGCAGACTTGTTTTTGCCAAAATCTTCAGTGTAGCTTGGACTTATTCCTTCAAAACTCTTGATTCTTGATCATATACTACCTCCTGAAATGGTTGAACATCAGTCAACTCTTTTTGGTACAGTGATTCTGTATATTCCTTCTAATCCTATTTATGGTACTATAAATAACCATTTCATAAATTATCCATTTCATAAATTTGGATTTTTTAATATCTCCTTAAAGTTGGGCTTTTTTTTTTTTTTAATGTGATTTGGGTGAAAATTTACAAAGTAAATTCATTTTTCATTTAACAGTTCATACACATTTTGTTTCATGACACTGATTGCAGTCCCCACAATGGAACAGTTCTCTTCCCACTCCCTCCCTGTGGTTACCTGCGTCCTTCTTTCCTACACAATTCTTCCCTCTAAGCTATTTCCTTGCACAAATGCTGCCCTTCTAATCTCCCAAGATTAACTGTTCTAAGGAGTATACCTACTTGGTATAATTGTCACCTTGTAAGCCTAGTGTTTGGCTAGACGTTAAGCCACAGTTATAGACCTAAAGGGTGACTAAGGGCCATAGTCTAAGGGGTGTCACCAGTCTAAATCAGACCCATAAATCTGGTCTTTTTTTTTTTTTTTTTTTTAATAATTTTGAGTTTTGCTCCATATTTTTCTCCCACTCTATCCAGGATCTCCAATTTTGACCCCTTTCGGAGTGTGTGGAAGTTCTTCTGGTCTTAGGGTCATGTAGGCTGAGGTTCCCATGGTCCACTAGTCCCTTGGATTAATTATTTCCATATCTCTTTGATTTTCTTCACTCTTCTTTGCTCCAGATGAGAGACCAATTGTTGCATCTTAGATGGCCACTCACAAGCTTTGAAGACCCCAGTTGCTACTTGCCAAAGTAGGATGTAGAACAATATTATCATGTAGTATACCCATTGAGTTTGATGTCCTAAAGTGGGGCATTCTTGTCCAAATATCCTTAGCCAAAGAAAAATATATACTGGAATTCCATCATCACTGGGAATGAGGTGTTTGTATATATCAATATGTTCCATCTTAATGCTTAGTTATCTAGCAGACAAGACCTTGTACGATAGTTTAATGTTTTTTTATTCTGATTGAAATGGGGGAACTATTGCAGTAATTTGAGCATAAGTGACAGGATGACTTATGCTTTTAAAGGATTGCTCTACTGGAAATGGAGTGTGGGGGGGCAAGAGTGTGTTTCCTCTAGATCCTCATTATTGCCCTTGCTTACTCTGCTCCAGTCTCACCAATCTCCTTGCCATTCCTCTAAAACACTAACATGCCAGACACATTCCACCTTTACTCCAGCCATGCCTTCTTCCCCAGATATCAGCTTGTCACTACTTCCCCAGGTATTTGCTTCACTAACTCCTTCACCTCTACCTCTTTTGAGTCTTGGTTCAAATCTCACATTCTCAATGAGACCTACCCTATACGCCAGGTTGTCCAACCATTGTCTACCCCTACTCTAGGCTCCTATACTAGCAAGGGAATAGTGAAAGAAAGGGAGAGTGGAGTGGCAGGGAACAGGAAAGCAGACAACAATAAGCATAATAAGTAACTGATATATCCTAAGTACCTGAAGCAGTGCCTAACATTCAGCAGTGCTGAATGAATGAAAATGTGGTGACCTTTCATTCTTTGGGCTCCTTCTGCTTTCCCCAATCCTCTCTCAAGAGTACTTAACTTAGATTCCAAAGTTGACTTAGCATTGAAGCAGTCATTAAGGCAAGTAATATTTCATGTTCTTCCTTGGACTTTGGAGGCAACTTCTTTAAAGGCAGAAACTTTAAACAGTGTGTTCTAGTTACCGAGTGCCGCTCTGACAAGAAATATACCACAAATGGGATGGCCTTAACAAATAGGAGTTTATTCTCTTACAGTTTGGAGGCTTTAAGTCCAAATTCAAAGGGCCAGGCTCTAGGGGCTGGGTGAAAGCCCCTCAGCCTTGGGCTTCAGCTCTGCCTCCAGCTCCTGGCCTACAGAAGCTAGAGGTTTTTCTTCACTCAGATAGCTGCTGGCTGCTGAGACTGCCAAGCCCAAGGTTGACAAGTAAAAAGGCACAGTCCCAATATTACCAAGTCACACGGCAGGCCATTAATTCAAGTCCACTGTAAGTCCCAAGGTCAGCAGAGCATGGCAGGCTGCTGAACAACAACAAGGCTACATGTTCAAGATTCCATAAGCTAGAGACCGTTCCCAAAACTACTTCTTATATACGGGAAGCAGACCACATACCCAAAGCAGCTACTCAGCTGCTTGTGGTAGATCCCACCATGGAGTTGATTGCCAGTCTCATCATGGGGAATAACTACCACCACCTGCCCAGCCACTCAACCAGGCCCAGCCAAGTTGACACACAAACATAAAACACTACAGAGTGTTACACCCTTAATCCTTATTATTATTATTATGACCTTAAGAATTATAGGCAATCAAGGTATAGTCTGATCCTACTTTAGTCTAAGGCCCTATGGGGGTCAATCTGTATCTCTTATTAATATCTCTATCCTCATTTATTCTTGGCATCACTTTGTGCCAACAAACTAAACCCATGGACAGGCCATTGGGCCACAGTTAGAAATGTAGTATCAGTGGAGTCGAGACAGGCTTTGTGTCAAGAAAATCAAAGGCAGAGTAAGTTTTCTCAGTTGTCCTTTGTTGTTTCTTTCTTATTTTATAGCCTTTTTACCAGGAATCTCCCAATGTAAGGTCCAACCAGTGATGGTGGCTTCATCAGAGACTTTTTCCATCACTACCATTTCCACAACTCCCGGGAATAAAGAAGGGGAGAGAATTACAAGTACTGATGAGTATTTGAGGCCTTCGAAACAACAAGGTACAAAATAAGTAGGGGTGAGACAAGAAAGAAAAGAAAAAGAAACATTTCTTAGCTCCAACATTAGTTTGTGTCTCTAGGATTTTCCTGGAGCTTGAGAAACTACACAGAATTTACACTTGAAATAATTCCATTTCTTATGGGAAAATCAGCTTTTCTACAAATACAGTCATAGATATTTTTGAAGGTTGACACCATCAATGATCCTTTACCTCCACTCAAGTAAGCTCACCTGTAGTCAGATTTTGGAACAGGATAAATCTTATTCATGTAGTAGGTAATACCAGCCATTATACGTATACACAAATGACAGTTCAATGCTAAACAATCATAACAGTCATGACAATAAACAAGTGTATGTTTTCATCTGCACTATTTTTAGAAACAAAAACCAAAAAACTAAACCCACTGCTGCAGAGTCAATTCTGACTCACAGCAACCCTATACAACAGAGTAGAACTACCCCATAGGGTTTCCAAGGCTGTAATCTTTCCAGAAGCAGACTGCCACATCTTTCTTCCATGGAGTGGCCGGTGGGTTTGAACCACCTACCTTTTGGTTAGCAGCTGAGCACTTAACCACTGCAACACCAGGGCTCCTTAAATCGTGATGATGGCACAGGACCAGGCAATGTTTCGTTCTATTGCATGTAGGGTTGTTGTGAATTGGAGCCAACTAGATAGCACCTAACAAAAACAACAAAATTGGCCAGGGCTCAAATTCTGCTTGTAAGATCACAGTTTGGGTTACATCTCAGTTCTTTCAGGGGAAAACCAAATATGAGATAAGTAATAACAAACTGCATATGAGTCATCTACCCTCAGATTTGGCTTATGACTCAGAAGCAGTGCCAATTCACCTCTTCTCCTACTCCTGCCCCAGTAAAGCGAAAAGAATGGTACATAGGAAAGAAGATTTTCTAATCACATATAATGTCTCCCAGCAGAAGAGTAGGAACCCTGAGAGGGCTGCTGTTAAAGATGAATTGAGAACTCTCCATGCACTTCACCCTCTTTTTCCTGAGTGTAAAAACTAGCTGTACTTGATTATAAAAACTCCCAAATCCCAGGGAAGGTGACTCCTTAGGAAGAGGATGCAAAAGAGGTTAGAGCTGAGCCCAAGATGCTTACCTGACTCCTGACTCTGAGTCAGATTTGGAAATTCATCTTCTGGCTCTGAATCAGGTGGAGCTCTATTAGTCTTGTGAGCCAGGAGACCTTCAAATCAAAGAATCAGTATCTTCCCTTTCTCACATTTTCTTTCTCCCTGCTTCCATTCCTCCCTCCCCTTTTAGAAACAGATGAGAGCCTAGAGAAGAGGCGGAAATGGAGCACTGTGGTTAAATTTCTGATTGCTGTTGCCCTATTGCTCAGTGGAATCACCATTATAGTGTTTGTCATTTTTGAAGTCCCTTGCCCTGTAAGTTTGCTGATGCACTGGGTCCTTCACCTTGGTCTATGAGGATCTCCTTCTATTCTACAGGCAACATGGCATAATGAGAAAGAAAAAGACTTCTGAGTTTGGATAGACCTGTCACTCACACTCAGTGGCTTAGTGACTTTGGGGAAAGTATTTGACTTCTTTAATCTCAGTTGCCTCATTTGTAAAATGGGACTCATGATATGTGTCTCTTATGGGTGGTTATGAAAACTAACTAAAAGATGCTCCCTAAATACTAGTTCCTTTCCTCTGCTATACTTGGGCATTCACTAGAAAGGAAGGATCCAACAGGACCAAAAAAAAAAAATTTTTAAGAGGGGATGATTTCTTTAAATGGCCTGACATGATGTTTAGTAGATAATCAAATGCATTATCATAATCAAATCAAGCCACTTCATGCTAATACCAGTCATCTTTCCCCTGAAGAGTCAATGCCTGAGAGCCAGAGAGCTGTGCCAATGCCAGCAGTTGTGGAGAAGGCAAAGGAAGGGAGCCAGCATGGAAGACCAGCAACCTGGGACACAGGAAGCCAAGCCTGACTCTCAGCCTGAGAAGGAAAGTATTCTCTGCATAGTTTACAACATCTGCTTGGAGAAAATGGGGTTAATACATAAGTACCGGGGAAAGAGGAGCTTGCCTCAATTTTGAAGCAAATGTGGATAATTTTTCAATGTGTCAAGAAATAGGCAGGTATGACTGATTTCCTAATGTCAGCCCAGCAGTATCAAAATAGGGTACTTACTGAAAATATGTATTTCTAGATCTCAGATATAAGAATGTCTAAGTAGGGCCAGGAATCTTGTTTTTAAGAGTTTTAACAAGCTCCCTAAATAAGAGGTGGATTTACTGTGAAACTAATGAAGTTTAAGCTTCAGGGCCCATGGGCTCAATCCAAGGTCTTGTATCCAATTTTATGCTTTTAAAATTTATATACTTTTTCTTAAAAAGGTTCCCCTAAATTGTGGGAGTTCAGAATCACAACATATGTGTCCACCTCTGTTCCTAGGTAACTATTAGGTACAACAGAGTTTAGGAACCACCACACAGTTTGAAGACTTGGCAGAACAACTTCCTTCATCTCTGAACTTGGGTTTACCTGACAGGTTATAAATCAGTAGTGTACTTTGGTGCCTGAAACAGACACTATGCCACTGGCTCAACACAGCTGCTTTAAATCTAGATTCCCCACCAGGAGTAGACTCATCTTCAGAATATTAGAAATTGATAGGTTCCTTCTCTTACTCTCAAAACATCAATAATACTCACTAAGGCAAAAAGATTAGGTATCCAATAATTCTAAAATTAAACAGGGTGTCCAGTTTTGTAGATTTATAGCATTAAGAATGGGTATTTCCATGGAGCAGTTTTACTCTGCACACATGTGGATGCCATGAGTGACAACTGACTCAATGGCAACTAATCACAAAAACAAGACAATTATGCAGTATGAATGCCACAAGGCCAGACTTTAAGCTTGTAAATGTGGAAAGTTAAGAATGGGTCTCAAATATTACCTACTGCAGCATGGCAAACTTCTGACACACATGCTAAAAAAAAAACAACCCACCGCCATGGAGTCAATTCCAACTCACACCCACCCTCATTGGGCTTCCAAGGCAGTAAATCTTTACGGAAGTAGATTGCCCAGTCTTCCTTCTGTGGACTGGCTGGTAGGTTTGGACCACTAACTGTCTGGTTAGCAGTCAGATGCCTCAGGCACTGTGCTACCAGAAATCCTTAGCACACATGCTGCACTCTTTAATTCTGTGACTACTGCCCATACCAAATACCATCTATACCAACTATCAAGCACTGCACTCTTTCCACCCAAGCATGGCCGCAGAGCCTTTCTTTTTCTTTTCTTTTTTAAATGCATTTTATTGAAAAATAATTTACGTACTGTGAAATATACAAAACTCAAGTGACATGGGTCAATGCATTTTTTTTTTTTTTGTAGTGTTCCCTCCCCTCCCCTCCCACCCCTGGCAACCAACAAAGAAAGTTTCCCTCCATATATAAACCTTTCCTTGGCCCTCCACAACAACAAACTAACGGTATATTTGTCCTTCTGTAATAGACTTATTTCACTCAGCATAATATCCTCCAAGTTCATCCATATTATGTGGTGTTTTGCAGACCCTACACTACTCTTTAGTGCTGCATAGCATTCCATTATGAGTATGTACCATAGTTTGGTCATCTCTTCTGCTGATGGGTATGTAGGTTGTTTTCATCTTTTTGCTATTATAAATAATGTTGCAATGAACACAATTGTGCATATATCTGTTCCTGTCCTGGCTCTCACCTCTCTAGGACATATACCTAGTAATGGGATTGCTGGGTCAAATGGTATTTCCAATTCCAGCTTTCTAAGGAATCACCTTATTGTTTCCCATAGTGTTTGTATCACTTCACAGTCCCACCAGCAGTGTATGAGTGTCCCAGTCTCTGAACATCCCCACCAGCATTTGTTATTTTCTGTCTCGTTGAACCTTGCCATCAGTGCTGTGGTGAGACGGTATCTTGTTTTGATTTGCATGTCTCTGATAGCCAATGATTGTGAGCGTCTCTTCACGTATTAGCTAGCCACCTGAATATCCTCCTTGGTGAAGTGTTTATTCATGTCTTCTGCCCATTTTTCAATTGGGTTGTTAATCCCTTTGCTGTTGAGGCATTGGAGTTCTATAAATCTTAGAGATAAGTCCTTTGCCAGATATGTAATTATTGGCTAATATGAATTTGTTGCTATCATTTTTGCTATGTGCTTTTTCGTGGTGTCAATTTCTTTGTTCCATATAATTTTCTATGCTGAGCTCATTTTGTCTATGAATCATGTTATCACTTTCTTCATTGCTATTGTTTTAGTATTTGCTACATATTTGTGCTGGTCCTCTTTTTTATTTTGATGTGAAGGTTTATCATTTTTCTTTGAGGTTACTGTATGATTTATAGTTTTCTTCCCAAGTTTAAAACAGTCCGTTCTATCTTGTAGTTGTCTTGACACCCCTACCATCTAGAAGTTTTATAACAACACAGTTATTTTTCCTCTTTTTGGTTTGCAGTTGTCTTCATTTGTTAATTGATGTCTCTGGTTCACTGTTTACAATCTTGTAGGCTTATTTACTTTGGATACTTCCATAACTGGGTTGGTTTCGGTTGTTGTTTGCTGTCATTGTTTCTCTGTCCAAAGGACTCCCTTTAGTATCTTTTGTAAAGTTGGGTGAATTTTAACAAATTCCCTTAATTTCCGCTTATCTGGAAATCCTAATTTCACCATCATATTTGAGGGACAATTTTGCTGGGTACATAATTCTTGGTTGGAAATTTTTCTCTTTCAGTGTTTTATATATACCATCCCATTGTCTTCTCGCCTGTATGGTTTCTGCCAAGAAATCTGAGGTTGGTCTTATTGGTTGCCCCTTGTAAGTAACTTTTTGTTTTCCCCATGCTGCTCTCATGATTCTTTCTTTGTCTTTGGGTTCTGGTGAGTTTGATGATGATATGTCTTGATGATTTTCTTTTGGGGTCTATCCTGTTTGGGGTTCGTTGGACTTCCTGAATGGATATATTCTCATTTTTCATCATACCAGGAAAATTCTCTTCCAAGAAATCTTTGACAATTTTCTCTGTGGTTTTATTTGTCTCTTCCTGTTCTGGAATTCCGATTACACATAGGAATTATATGTTCCTTTTAGGTTATTCCTTTTGATGGCATCCCACATGAACCTTAGGCTTTCTTCATTTTGTCTTAATCTTTTTTCTGATTAATCCCTTTCCAAAGAAGTGTTCAGGTATTTGCCTTCAATCTCACCAATTCTGTCTTCCATTGATTCAATTCTGCTCTTCTGCCCATTCAATGTCTTATCTATTTCTGAAAATTTAGTATTAATCTTCTGGATGTCTGTGTGTACACTTTGTATCATTTCTAATTTTTCATTTATTTTGTCATTTTGTTCTTGAATTGTTCTAGGGTTTTCTCTGTGTTTTCCTTGATCTGTCTCTCAATTCATTGAAGATACCTAAATACAATTCTTTTGAATTCTTTATCAGGGAGTTCCAATGCTGTGTCTTCCTCAGGGATGTGTTTTGGGTCTGTATCCTGGTCCCTTGTTTCTCCTGCTTTATCTTGCTTCTTTGTGTGAACTGTGATGCACTGTTGTTTCTGAGGCATTGTGACATTTTTGTCTTTATATTTAATTGGTGATTTTATGTTGGAGTGACTTGCCCATGATTTTCGTTTTCTTTTTGTTTGTATGTTATCTATGCAGGTAGGGTACTGTGCTATGCTCCTCTATTCACTATACAGCACTTATATACTCACCACCTGTCTCCTTTCCTGTTGACAGTCTCTCATATGTCCCTGCTGACCTTGGAAAACAGAGCCTATTCTTAGGTCCCTGGAATTCAAATAAGAATGCTATCACTTTAAAATCCAAAATGGTCACCACCTGTAAACATTCAAAATGGCTGTGCCCTTGGTCACTTTAAATATCTAAAATGGCCACCACTTATGAACAATCAAAATGGCTGTGCCCTCAGTCACTATAAAAATCCAAAATGGCTGTTCCACATAAACACTCAAAAGGGCTGCGCCCTCTGGACAGCAGAAAGTCAACAGCTCAGGTTGTCTCCCTCCTTGCTGTTTCCCTTCCTAGTCATAGGCCAACAGTGCAGTCATCCCTGCAGCTCTTGGTGACCAGGGCTGCTCTTTTCATCAATTTTCAGGTCCCAACACCTCTTGGAAGTATTCAGGCTGTTGGTCCCGTCAGAGTAGCTGACAGTTTGCAGCTCTGATCGACTCTGTACTCACTGTTTTCATTCAGATTTTTCCACTAGTTGGTGCCTAATCCACTTCTGTATAGTTCCTTTCAAAGTTCAGGGCTCCAGGATTATATTCTTTATCTCTGTCAACTTGTTTTTCTTTTCTTTGTTGAAGAGGGTCTGTGTCACTTGTCTGCCTATTCCTCCATCTTACCGGAAGTCCCACAGAGCCTTTCTTATCACAGTGCTCTAGCACCTACTACCAACTTATTTGTCATCTCTGGTCAAAATTAAAATTTTCTATAATCTTATTTCTTCTAATATTGAATGATGAGCCCCAGAAGATTAGTATGATTTTATTATAAGGTGTATTTTTAGTTTTTTTCCTCTGATCAACATGGTAATTTCTAATTTGAAAAAACAGGCCTAAAAAGGATTAAAAAGTCTAGTCCAGAACTACAAGAAATCATGGAGCAACAACTCTGATTGATCTTCTCCTATAAACAAAATGTTGTTGTTAGGTGCTACAGAGTTGGTTCCAACGCATAGGGACACTATGTACAACAGAATGAAACACTGCCCAGTCCTGTGCCATCTTCATAATCCTTGTTACGCTTGAGCCCATCATTGCAGCCACTGTGTCAATCCATCTCATTGAGGGACTTCCCTTCTTTGCTGACCCTCTACTTTACCAAGGATGATATCCTTCTCCAGGGAATGGTCCCTTCTGACAACATGACCAAAGTAAGTGAGACAAAATCTGGCCACTCTCACTTCCAAGGAGCATTCCAGCTGCACTTCTTCCAGGAAAG